ATCTTGCCTTTAACTTCCCAACTTCCTTTCCAACTTTCTCTACCTAACCTCATTTCTCTGCCTCTTTCTCTGTCTGTTCCTCTCCCCTGATTCTCTCTCCCCCTCCCCTGACATAGATATGTTTCTCCTCTCCATTCTACTTCTCGGCTTTTGCCTGTGACTTACAGAAAACATCCCTCCCACTGGTCTAAGAGGGCCCAGTGTCAGATGCCTGTCCCACCACATACTAGCTATGGGACCTTAGGCAAGAAGTACAACTTCTCTGAGCCTCAGTTTTCTGGCTTATAAAATGGAGTTGACACAGGTACCAACTGACAGGTTTCTATGAAGATTAATTGAGATAATGCATGTACAGTGCTAGTAATTAGTACAGTGCTTGGCACTTGGTAAGCAAGTAGTGAGTGGTAGCTCACCACGGGGAGGTGATGAGCATTTAATCCCACCCATCTCCATCCACGCCAAGCCATTCCGGCAAAGCCCCAGCAGATACAAGTGCACAAATCAGAGCCAACATTCAGAAACTTAGTTGGTTGTGCCTATGCTTGTATTTTTGCTCAACGATGGCTTTGTTGTTTAACTGAAAGCTATCATCCTTATTGGGGTTCATAGCACATCAAATTTCTACCTCCTGAGCCTAAAAGGTAAATTATATTTATTTTTGTTTTATCCTCAGGACTAACTGGCATAGCAACCTTTTAATAAGAACAGTCTCTGGAAGAGATATCAGTCCCCCGCTAACAGAAGACACGGCATCAAGAGTGAACAAAAGACCAATACAATTGCACATACTCGCTGGTGAGGTGTTGTCACTGGAGGGCAGGTTAGACAGCAAACTGGGTAGAAAAACAGAACGTCACAAGTTACCAGCACTGGCCACGACACCACAGACCCAGCCACAGGCTTCTGACTCACACACCTGAGAAAGGACATCAGAGCAGGCACAGAGCCTGGATGCAGGCGAGGTGTCCAGACTGAGACCAGGAACCACCCTGGGTCTCTTCAGATGGCACATACATGACCCTTGAGCAGGGCCAGCCTGGGCCAGGGCCAGGGCCTGTCCTTGAGGCTTCCCAATCCCTGAGCTGGCATGTCATTACCTGTGGCCCCTCCTCCTGTGTCTGTGGAGGCCAGAGGAAGGTGTGGCTTTGCAGACTGAGGCCCAGGGAGGGAAGCACAGCAAGAGCTGATGCAAAGTCCAACCCCTGGTTCCCTAGGGAGCCAGAGGATGGGGGAAGAGAGGAACAGAGAGGCTCTGCCTCTAGGGGGCCACTGCGGCAGGCTCACACCTAGAGCACTGTGCAGCCCAGCCACCAGATGGACACTGCAGGCACCACCTCCATGAGCCAGAACTGGGAAGCACAGCTAGTGCCAGGCCACCTCCCCAGCTCCCTGGAGGCACAGGGCGGCTTTCAGGACAGAACACAAAGGAGGCCCAGGAAACAGGGCAGGCAGCTTTAAGCTACTGAAGGGAGCAAAGAGGAGGAAATGGGCCTCACTCCCCAGACTCTGAGAGCTGGAAGGGGTCCCAGGAATCCAACTTGAGCAAGAATGGAGCAGAGGGGAGCTTGGGCCAGGAGCAGACACAGGGTCAGGAAGGGCTTGGAGGCTGGACCCACCCCTGACAGGTCTGAGAAGAACGTGTGAGGGTCTGAGGACTACTTGGGCCTAGAGAAGGGTGGAGCATCAGGTCACGCCATCCAGGCTCTCTAGTGCCCATGGCCAGAGGGAAGTACCGCTGCTTGGGAATGAAAGGGCACAGCTTGCCCTCCCTGCTGGTGGCTGCTCGTGACTCAGCACACAGTGCAAAGGCTTTAAGATGGGCCCTGCCTAAGCAGGCACTGCCCCGTGTCTCATCACTCCCCCAGGGCCCTGCACGAGGGCATCTGCCCTCCCTTCACATTGCCCTGCTGCGGTCTAGCGCCTTCGCCTCAATCACTCCCTCTGCGGGTGCTCTCCCCACCTCCAGCACAACGTGCTTGCGGACCACTCCTACCCAGAGCCCCACCTCACAGGCCCTCTTCCAACCCCTCACATCTAGGTGAGTCTGGGTGGGTTACTCCGTCTGCAGCTCTCCCACAGTATCATGTGGTTTCAGGGGTCAGGGGCTCCATGAGGCAAGAACCTCACCCAGCTCCTTCCTTGCTCTATCCTCCAGGCCCCGGCCCCACGTACATAGTGATGGTATAGAAGAGAAAAAAGGTAAGAAAATCTGAGTGTCAGCCTAAGAGGTCCAGTACTTGACTAATAAGAGTTCCAGAATGAGAAGAAATTATCAGAGAAACATTATTTAAAAATTTGTTAGAACCAAAAGGTGTCTTCAGGCTGAAAGAGGTCACCAAGAATCCAAAATAATGAATTTTAAAAGAGTTAGTGTTGTGAAATTTCAGAAATCAATTTCACAGATAAAGAGATGATCCCAAGTATTTCCAAAGAAAGAAAACAGACCACTTGCAAAGAATCGGGAATAAAATGGCATCAGGTTTTTCAACGGCTATATTGGAACCCAGAAGAAAATAGCACAATGGTCTTCAAAAATCTGAAGAAAAATGATTGTCAACCTAGAATTTTCTCCTCAGCCAAACTGTCAATTAAGGCTGAGTGCAGAATTACAATTTTTTTTAGACACAAAAAGACTCAAAACTTTCTTCCCGTTTACCCTTTTTCAAGAAATTACTGGAAGAGGTGTTCCACCAAAGCTACAGCATATACCAGGGAAAAGGAAGACTTAGAGCTGGTGGGAGGTGGGCCCTGGAAAGGAAAATTTCATGGAAAAAAAATGGAACCAAGGCTGGACGTGGTGATTCGTGCCTATAATCCCAGCACTTTGGGAGACTGAGGCGAGAGGATTGCTTGAGGCCAGGAGTTTGAGATCAGCCTAGGCAACATATTGAAACCCCATTTCTATAAAAAATTAAAAAAAAAAATAGCTTGGCACAGTGGCTTGCACCTATAGTCCCAACTGCTCAGAAGGCTGAGATGAGAGGATCACTTGGGCCCAGGAGTTCAAGGTTACAGTGAGTCACTGCATTCCAGCCTGGGCTACAGAGCAAGACCCTGTCTCTTAAAAAAAAAAAAGAAAAGAAAAGAAAAGAAAGAGATGGAACTGAAAAATAGGAGTCTTCAAATTAAAAGAAGGCACTGAAAATATAGTCGTGTGTCACTTAATGACAGGGACACATTCTGAGAAATGCATCATTGGGCAACTTTCCTGCGTAAATATCACAGAGTGTACTTACACAAACCTAGAAAGTACAGCCTACTACACACCTAGGCTATTTGGTCTAGCCTAGAGCTACTAGGCTACAAACCTGTACAGCATGTTACTGCACTCAATACTGCAGGCAATTGGAACACAGTGGTATTTGTGGATCTAAACATATCTAAACATAGAAAAGGTACAGTAAAAAAAGCGATTTTCTTTCTTCGATGATAAATTAAACTTAGCTTATTGTAACTTTTTTACTTTATGAACTCTTAAATTGTTTTTAACTTTTTGACTCTTTTGTAATAATACTTAGCTTAAAACACAAACACATTGCACAGCTGTACAAAAATATTTTCTTTCTTTATATCCTTATTCTATAAGCTTTTTTCTACTTTTAAAGTTTTTTTGGTTTTTGTTTTCTTTTTTACTTTTTAAACTCTTTTAATACTAGCTAAAAACTAAGGCACAAACACATACATTAGCCTCGGCCTACACAGGGTCCAGATCATCAAGATGTCACTAGGTGAGAGGAATTTTTCAGCTCCATTTTCATTTTATGGAACCACCTTCATATATGCAGTCAGTCGTTGACCAAAATGTTATGTAGTGCATGACTACATGGAAAGGCTGCTGGAGGGTACAGTAAGGTTAAAGACGGTACAAAGGAAACTATGCCAATGAAAAAAATGAGACCATCATCAACTCCAGATAAAACATAAAGTTGGAAAAGAGAAGAAACATAATCACTATACAACCAACTTGACTATGCAGTAAATGTTATTTATATAATTGTAATAACATGAATATGGAATAAGCCCCAAAAACCATAATAACTATTTTGGGGGCAAAGATGTTGATAGGGACGGATAATAAGAGAGCTAAATCCTCAACTACCAAAATAGATAGTGCGAAAGAACTAATTGAGTAATAGCAGGGTAGATAAGCATATTAGTTTGAAATACAGATTTCTGTCTGAAGAACAGCTAAAAGTAGTTGCTCCCCAGAAATGGGAATTTGGGAGGGATGAGTAGCATACTGTTTTTACTTACAAGTGCTTTAGTAATATTTGACTTTTTCAATTATGCACACATATTACTTTGAAAAAAATAGGAATTTTGAAAAAGTTTTTGAAATTAAGTTAATGAACAAAAAGAAAGACTTTGAGACATTAACCATGTCTTAATAATCATTAAAGTTGTTCTATACTACATTCTCCTACCTTCTCCCCAAAACCAAACATAACCCTTGACATTTCAGTTAGCTCTAATTCAAGTTCCTATATATTTAAAAAAAATGAAACTGTAGTATCCTAGCCTTATCCTCCCCATCCTCCCCATCCTTCCCACCCTTAACCTGAATTTTTGGCAATAGTATGATGGTACATGTTTAATAACTGGTTCTCTGGAGAAAAAGTCCTGATTTGTGTCATTTGCCAATTTCCATGGTGTAAATATTCCCATTCATGGCTAATTTAAAGCTACCACTGTGATGTCACTGAATGTGGAACTGGGAATAAATGCTTCCAATCAGCTCTTAGAAGCCAGTGCAAGCTGGCTTCACCAAACCACTGTCTTTGGGTCTCTAGCTTTATCAGCCTCTATGCTTCCTACCAGACCTAGGATATGGGGTAGACCCGAGTATCTCCCCAAAAGAGCAGGAAGTCCCTAGGGGTACACAGCAGCAGAAGTAGATACTCAAGGAAAGTAAAGTGGTTCTGGGTGCAGGGAAGGGGTTGTGAATTTACCACCTTCCTTCCCCTCTCCACCTGCCATACTCCCACCTCCAACAGAGTTACCTGCTCATTGGTGACCCCTGGGCGCAGGGTCCCATGCTTGTAGTCCTCCAGCAGCTGCACAGCCTCTCTGAGACGTCTCTGCAGAGGAAAGAAAGAGACATTGAGGGGCACAAATCCAGGGCTCCTGTGAATTTTTCCCTTGTAGGATTACATCAATGTCAATCAAGTACTGAAAGTGCTTACAATGTGCAAGGCCTCAGGCCTGTCCTCGGTTCATAGACACACAAAAAATAATAAAGAAGGATACCACCTAAATGTCCTTCTATTGGGAAATGGCTCATCGATGGTGGTATAATACTACTATGGAGCAGTATTCAGCAATTTAAAAAGTGAAGTAGAGCTACATGTGACTCCATGGCTGTATCACCAAGATATTTTCTTGAGTAAGAAAACAAATTGCCAAGTAGTTCGATGCTGTTTGTTGTACCAAATAACACACACGCATGTAAAACAATATTTTCTATGAGAATATTTATGTGTCTAAATGCATTAAAAAAAGTCCTAGAAGGAGACCTACTAAACTGGTGACAGAGGTTACCTTGGGGTAGAAGGAAAGGGCCCACACTTGGCAAAGGGTGTCAGAAGGAACTTTAATCTTAACTGTAATATTGAAAGCTTTTTAAAGAATATATTTATATAATACTTAAATAATTTATTTTTGACATTTTAAAAACACTGGCAAAGATTTACCTACTAAAGTATATATGGCTACAGTAACTGATAGGGATAGAGAGAGAAAAGGATAGAATTGTATGAGCTTTAGAATCTAAAGAGATAGCAAGTGACAGAAGGTAGACTTTGTCTACCAAAAGACTTGTATAAGAATGTTCATCCTGGCCTACAGAGGACAGAAAAAAAAATTAATTAAAAAAACAAGAAAAAAGAATGTTTACAGCAGCACTATTTATATAGCCCAAAATTGCAAATAATACAACAGTAGAATGAATAGGTAAATTATAGTATATGCCCACAATGAAATACTATACAGCAATTAAAAAGTAAACTACAAATACATGTTATAAAGTAGATGAATCTCACAGACATAATATGGCAGAATATGTTTTCCAAAGATGGCCACCCCAATATTCCTGTCTCCCATGTTCTTCTAGAACATTCCTACATCCTCATCTAGAGGTAAAGTCTATGTCCCCTCCCCTTCATTCTGGTCAGGACTTTGTGACTGCCTCAACAAATAAAGAATGACAGAGGTAAGGTGATGTAACCTCATCTTAGAGCTAGATCACAAAAATGTCTGTGCTTCCACTTTGCCGTCAGGATGGTCACTCTTGGAATCCAGTCACCACGCCATATGGAAGCCCAAGTGGCTTAGGAAAGACCTATGAGCATAGCAACAGAGGCCTTGGCACCAGCTTGCTCACTGTGCAAGTGAACCATCTTGCAATGGAATCTTCCAGCCCCCATCAAGCCACCCTGGGCAATGCCACATGGAGCAGAGATCAACCATTCCCTGTAAGCCCCACCCCAAGCTGAAAACCAGTAAGCAAAATAACTGACTGTTGTTTTAAGCCATTAAGTTTTGGAGTGCTTTGTTACATAGCAACAGCAGGCTAATACACACAATGATAAGCAAAAGAAGACACAAAGAATACATATAATAAAGTTTAAAATAAGCAAAACTGACATATGGCAGTAGAGGGCCTTATCGTGTTCCACCTGAAGGGGGGTACTGACAGGGAAAAAAACATGAGGGAACCCTCTGGGGTAACAGGCATGTTCAATGTCTCGATCTGAGTGGTGGTTATATGGGCATAAACATAGGTACAAACTCACTAAGCCATACGGTTAGGAGTTATGCATTTTACTATATGTTATATCTCAAAAAATTAACAATAAACAGACAACAGGATGGAAGGCAGCTCACGTCAAGCTCCAGATGAGGGACTCAGACATCAGGGATGCCCAGTGTGGGGGAGGAAACCCCGTGAAGCCACCCTGTTCCGCTTTGGACTATGGGAAAAGGCTGGCTAGGGAGAGACCTCCTCACAAGCCCACGTAGGGCACCCAGTGTGGCAGACTGAGAGTTTGCTGAGCTGGCTGACAGGGTGGGCTACGATCAGCCACCCCTATACAGAAGATCAGCAGCAGGAATAACTGCCGACTCAGACAAACCAGCCAGGCCATCCTCAACCCCAGCCTGTGCGAAGTACCTGGCTCCAGCGCTGGGCTCACCCTGGCCTGGCTCCCGGCCCACAGTGGAACCGTAGACAGGGACCAAGGAAACTCTTCTTACTTGGACTGGCCTGAAGGCTGAAAAGCACTATCCTTTCCCTTTCAAGTGTCTGAGTATCAGTTCCTAGATTCTCAAGAGCCCATTCCTGGGATCTGTTCATTTCCAAAGTGGAGAGAGAGCTTTGTGGTTGTTTTTTGTTTGTTTTTTCCCAATTATACAAGTAATCCATGCTGTTTAAAGAAAATGTCAGAAAAAAATAGAAAAGCAAAAAAAATAATTTTAAATCACCCATAAACATACCGCTGAGATACCCACTACCAAAGAGAGGATGATTTTTCTTCTAGACTTAATACATTTGTTTTTCAACAAAATTGGATCACGCTGATTGTTTTAACTGAAGGTCACACAAATAGTAAGTGGTTGATTTAGTATTTGAATCCAGAGTTTATTCAGCCTCTTGCTCTGCACACACGCTGCACAGCCCACTGCACACCCCCCAACACCGCCAGAGCCTCCTAGTGCTGAGCAAACCCCCCCTCCCTTCAGCCTGCTTCCTCCCGCTGCCTTGCCCCTGCAGCCTGGACAATGCATGCTCTACTTTCCAACGCTGAATGGTGAATGGCCCCGTGTTCTCATTATTTTTCCCACTCCAGGGATTCTCCTGAGTTCCTATAACAACCTGGCCAGATTCCATCTCATTCGACACAGGCATCAAAGGGAGCCCTCTTGCCGACAGAATAAGTTCCAAAGAGCCCTGATCTTGGCAAAGGGCATGGGTTGAGGGGGAACTAAATCCAAAGACAAGTCTAAGGACCCAGGACTGAAGGAAGCTGGAATGTGCTTTTCTGCCTCTGGGTACTACACGCTGGCCTCAGCCTTACTAAGCCTCTCTTGGCCCTGTGGTACAGGCAAGGCCTTAGGCCACCTGTCTTGAAAGGTCCCCAAGGCCTGGATGTTCTAGGGGCTGGTGTCCCCGCTGCAGAGAATGGGGCCATTTTGTGGAGACTTGGGAATAGGAGGAGGGGTCCCCCTGTTTTAAGCCCTACTCTCATGCTGTAGGATTGTGAGGCTTGGCAGAGAGCTTGGGCACTTGAGGGCTGGGGAAAGCTGGGAGGTCGGCAGCAGGGCAAACCCTGCAGGAACTGTTTTCAGCCAGGAACAAACAGGGAGCCAGCCCCTGAATGCAAAGGCTGTGAAGGGCCCAGCTGGGAGCCCTGGGCTGGGGGGAAGGACAGCCCAAGCTGCCGCTCCCCAAACTCCATCTCCCTCACCAGCCAGCTTGCCAGAAAGTGTCACCATGACAGTCTCTTCTTGCATTTGACAGGACATGGTCTGAGAAGGTCCCTCTGGAAAGGCATGCACCTGGGAGCTGTGCTCCAGCAGTAGAGGATTCCAACAGAGGAGAATCCTGGCCCCTCGGTCCCGCTCCAAAGCCCTGAGGGGAAAGCGTAGGAAGAAAAGGGGCAGGCTCGGAGGTTGGGGTGGTGGCCAGAGAGGGAAGGATACCGTGATGGAGGGGAATGGTGATGAAGGGACAGGAAGAAAAAGGCACAAAAGGAAAGCTGAGGAAAGAGGCCTCAGAAGCAAAACTAATCTTTTCTTGGGGAGATTGCCCTGTTCACACAGGATGTGGATAAGCACAGCTCTCTGCATGTAGACATCATAGAACCAGCTAGGCCATCTCCTCTCTGAGAAAACTGGGGCCAAGAGGGAAGGGTACTTCTTGCCCAAGGTCACAGAGTAGGTGGGTATCACCTAGAAACCCCAAGAACCCTCAACCCCAGTTCTGAGCCATTTCCACAAGACATCAGCATGGAAGAACCTCCTGTACTCAGGACAGCAACTTGTCTCCCAGAGAAATCACAGAAATGCTTGAATCCCCCCCCAAAGCTGGAGGCTACTGAGATCGGGCACCCGGGTAAGAAAAACAAGGGCTTTTGTACTCTCATTCAAAGCTGGGCCCAGCCTAACACAGAAAATAGTGGAAAGCATGTTTAGAGGAATCAGGTACAATTGAACTGTGGACCATTTCAGGCAAAGCGGAGAGTTTGGGAGTCCCAAAGCTTAAAAACAAAAAAAGAAAAAGTAGATAATGTCAGGGGTGGGAGAGAATGAATTGGCAGTGGGGTGTGCAGGAAGGCAGGGAGGCCAGTGGATTATGTTACGTCATGCCTTGGTCACTAGTCGTTCTCACGAGGCCAGTCTCGCATTTGCTGAGGGCAGGGCTGGGGATCCTTACCACGCTTGACCGCTACTCGTGTGGCCTCCAGGTGGTGGAACTGGGGGCCAAAGCTTTGCCCGCTACGTGCAGGCAAAGTCTCAAGCCCTTCTCTTATCTTCCCTCAACCACCCCAAACTCCTTCTTGTTCCCTCCCAGCAGTTCCAGAACCTGCAGGGTGATAGCTGTCTGTGCTGGGATGAGTCCTTGGCTCCCACAGCCATGAGCTACGCTTTGAGAGGCCCAAGCGAAGGGGGAAGCAGATACACGTACGTAGCTTTCCCTGCGCTGAGCTCTGGTCACCTTTGGAGGCCGAGTGGGGTTTTTGCAGCATGACAGGTGGTGCATCACTTCAGAAAATAAATCTATCCAGCTACCCCAAGAACTTTAAAAACTATTGTGGCCTCCAGCCTGGCTACCCTCCTCCTGGGAACTTATACTGAAAAATAAATTTAGCAGAAATGAAAGGTGATAATGCCCAAGACTGGTTTTTTGCAGGAAAGCAAAAGACAGGAAACAACCTATCTGTTAGACCTAAAAGTCTAACAGGGGATGGTTATTTATACCACAAAATTTGATTTTAAGAAATTATGAAGACTTGGAAATGAATGAAAAAAGCAAGTAAAAGGTAGATGTTCAATGTTATAAGCATGCCAAAAATGTACACAG